AACATAGAAACCAGATGCACCAACCCCAAAACCCCAAAACCCCAAAACCCCATAGACAGATATAGGTATGTTTACTGTTGATACAGATATGATATGTGAATATTGAACAAAATCTAAGCCAACATACAATACTAAAGTGCACCGAGTCAAAGAGAGTTGTTAGCGAAAGACTTACTCAACCCTTTTTAAGGAGGGAAAGAGTGCTCTCTTGTGGCTGACCCAATTCATATTAGTTACTATTTATACTGATAGACGTCTTTCTCTTGTTTTTCTTCATTTCATGTTGACTTAAACTTCGGTTGCTCAAGCAAGTGATGGGTAATCCTCATCAGCATACTTCAATTGGTTTTGTCCTCTGGCTGGTCTGGCACCTTGGTTTCCGGCATCTCCTCTGCCTCTTCCTCCACGGCCACCTCTTCCACCGCGACCGCCTCTTCCACCTCTTCTTTCTTCTCTTGGGTAGAATTCATCTTCACCACCTTGGAATCCTAGGAGTTCAACGTTTTCACCCTTAGCAATGCTGTAGAGTTCTTGGTTCTTGAGTGAGCTTTGGATGCCGACGACTCTGTCTCCTTGTCTGTCAGCTTTTTCAATGTTAGCCTTTTTGTTTTCCTCTGGCTTTCTGGCTTCTTTCTTAATGTTGGCAACTTTTCTTTGGGCTCTGAATTCTTCAAGAGTGAGACCCTTCTCCTCTTCCTCTTCAACTTCTTCTCTAACTTCAACCTTTTCCTCTTCCTTTGGTTCTTGAGTTTCCTCAACCTTGGTCTCCTCGCCTTCTTGAACTGGAGTCTCCTCGGCATTTTCGGTTTACTTAACCTCATCTTCTGGCTTGCCCCAGTTTCCTCTTCCATGGCCTTCCTTGGCAACGTCTCTTCTGCCTCTTCCAGTGCCTGACTTTCTGTCAAGTGGGTGCCATTCCTCTCTCTTTTTACCTTGGAAGTGATCTTCTCTTCCAACGTAATCAACCTTTTCCTTTCTTTGAGCGTAGACAACACCTTCATCACCTTCAGCATTCTCACCTTCACCTTGAGGTCTGCCTCTGCCTCTACCTCTTCCTCTGCCTCTTGGTCTCTCGTTATCGTCACCTTATCTAACTTCTCCTTCTTCGCCTTCTCTTCTCTCTCCACGGCCGCCTCTGCCACCGCGATATCCACCTCTGCCTCTTGGTCTCTCTTCTCCTTCTTCGCCTTCTCTTCTTTCTCCACGGCCACCTCTTCTTGGTCTTTCTTCACCGCCTTCTTCGCCTTCTCTTCTTTCTCCACGGCCTCCTCTTCTTGGTCTTTCTTCACCGCCTTCTACACCTTCTCTTCTTTCGCCTCTGCCACCTCTGTAGCCACCTTCTTCACCTTCTCTTCTTTCGCCTCTGCCGCCTCTATAGCCGCCTCTGTCACCTCTGTAGCCGCCTCTGCCACCTCTGTCGCCACCACGACCACCTCTGTCGCCTCCACGACCACCTCTGGCACCGCCTCTAGTTCTGGTTTCTTGACCAGTGACTCCATCGAAATCTCCAAGATCTTAATCTCTTGGCTTTTGGACAGCGGTTTTTGGCTTTTGCTCTTGTGGCTTTGGTTGAACTTGAGCGACGGGTTTCTTTTGTTGAACTACTTTTTGTTGTGGTTCATCATCATCATCAGCGAATGCTGAGAACATTCCTCCTTTAGCTGCCATCTAAACTAAAAATTAGCAAACAAAGATCACAACACATACCTTTTCAATGAAAGATTCTTTAATATTAAATATAAAATAATGAATTCAAACAAAAATAATACAAATCACTTTGCTAACATATTATTAATTTATTAACTTAATTCAGTAATATAATTTCAAACAAAATGTCATTTCACATAAAGATTGGTAACTATCGATTTTCAAAGAACTTAGGGACAGGCTCTTTCGGAAAAGTCAAGCGTATATATATATCCCTTTACTCTATAAATATATATTAGTTGCATTCAATGAGATCAGTGGGCATAAGGTCGCTATTAAAATCATGAATAAAAAAAAGATAAAGTAGCAATAAGTTTTTGACAAGATAAAGCGTGAAATAAAAGTCCTCAGGCTTTTCAATCATCCACACATTATCAAGCATTATGAGTTCATTGACACTCCATCAGACATATTTATGGTTATCGAATTTGCATCAGGAGGTGAGCTTTTCGATTTAATTTCAAGAAGAGAAAGAGTAAGTAAGCATAAAATATGTGTTTAACTAAGCAATTATGCTAATTATAAAAATCCGATTGTCTGATTCCTGATAAAATTATTATAGTTAGATGAAAGTGAGGCAAGAAGATACTTTCAGTAGATATTCTCAAGCATTGAATACACTCATTTCCACAAAATCACTCATCGTGATTTGAAGCCAGAAAATTTACTACTAGATGAGAATAACAATATCAAGTTGATCGATTTCGGACTCTCGAATTCAATGAAGGATTCGTAATCACTGAAAACAGCTTGTGGCTCTCCCAACTATGCAGCTCCTGAGATTATTAGTGGTAGGTCATACAGTGGAGTAGAGGTTGATATCTGGTCTATGGGAGTTATATTATATGCTATGGTTTGTGGTACTTTGCCTTTCGATGACGATTCTATGACTCAACTTTTCAATAAAATTAAAGAGGGTAAATATTACATGCCTAACAATATTTCGCCTGATGTAAAGGATTTAATAAATAGAATGCTTTAGCCGAATCCTGTGAAAAGAATTACAATGAACGAGATTAAGCATCATCCTTGGTATTTATAGGATCTCCCTTCTTATCTTCTGAACATTTCCTAAATATCATAAAATCCATAACCAGTTGATGAAGAAATCGTGAAAAAGCTATTCACAGTAATTACTCAATTTCAATAAATACTAATTATAGCTTAATCTTAATTTACAAGGAAGAAATTATCAAGATGTGCTTTAATCAATTTAAGAAAAGAAAAATACAGATTATTGTGGAGTTTACGAACTATTCTACCATGACAAGATAAAGAAGGAGTGCTTTTAATAGCAAAATACTAACATTGAGTTAAAATAAGATAAGCAGCATCGTAAATAATTCAAGTCGCTTAAGTCTCTTATTTTTTCTCAGAGGAATCAGTAGCAATTCTAAAATAATAATTCAATCATGATGAGTTTGCTACCTGAAAAGCATGATCTTAGACTGAAGAGAATAATTAATAAGATGAAGTCGGGAAAGAGCAGATTTGATGAAACCCCAAAGGGTATATATAAAGAGGAAAGTAAACGAACTACTAGAATAAACTCCTTGATGTCAACCACTATAGATGGTTAGAGTACCCTATCCTAATCTGGTGGTTATCTAGATTTACAAACAATATAGATTTCAGAGGAAAAGCAATTATTAACTCATAAATAACACTGGATATTCGGTGTAAATATTACGGGACCTCCTGTTGAAATTATTGAATTGGTCTGCCTTATACTACAGAACCTTAATTTTGTAAGTTTTTACAATATAATTGATGAATACTTAGGAGTGGCAATTTGTGCCTTAGGAGATGAAACTAAAATGCTAGCTTATAATAGATCATGCTGATATTTAGTCTGATAACGATGAGTATTTGTAGCAGTATCTAAAGAAAAAGTTTTTCAAATTCTACGTTAATCTCTATAAATAGCAAGCTAAGTAGAATGATGATAGATATTTGATTGATATCCACCTATTCAAAGGTAATCCAATGCTTTTTACAGACTTTGCGAAGTCATTTCTCAATCTAATGTATCAAAGTTGCCAAGTTGTGATGAAACCCCCTGAAGAAAGACATAGTACTCCAAGCAAGATGATGGGATTGAAACTTGATGATATTATGGTCAGCAAAGAGGGAATTTATAAATAGCATCCTCAGGAAGACCCTAAGCTCAGGACCCCGGAGTAGATTAAAAATCTTGGGGAAGGGCATATCCCACTTTTCACAAATTTGACAGTAGTAATATGATTCTAACTCATAGGTTTGTACTATTTATCCATTCCGAAGATATTTAATTACATTAATACAACATACGTTTACAGTATCAATAAATCTCACTTTAAATATAAACTACCGTAAGTATTTCTTTAAATTATTATAATAGCTATTGAATAAATATGAGATATAATTATGTTCGGGGTTTTGGGGTTTTGGGGTTTTGGGGTTTTGGGG